GTATTGAGAAACATCTATCTTAACATAGAAGAAAACAATACCTAAGCCAAAATGCCACCAAACACTCATTTTTTTTTATTTTAGCATATTAGGGGGTTACATATATTCATATATTGCCTTTGCCCCACCTGAGTCAGAGCTTCAAGTATGTCCATCCCCCAGATGGTGCACACTGCACCCATTAGGTGTAAATATACCCACCCCTCACGTCCCCCCTCACCTTCCCAACACCCGATGAATGTTACTACTATATATGCACATAAGTGTTGATCAGTTAATACCAATTTGATGGTGAGTACATGTGGTGCTTGTTTTTCCATTCTTGTGATACTTCACTTAGTAGAATGGGCTCCAGCTCTATCCAGGATAATATAAGAGGTGCTAGATCACCATTGCTTTTTGTGGCTGAGTAGAACTCCATGGTATCATATACTGCATTTTATTAATCCACTCATGTATTGATGGGCCCTTGGGTTGTTTCCACATCTTTGCAATTGTGAATTGTACTGCTATAAACATTCTAGTGCAGATGTCTTTTTTATAGAGTGGTGCTTATCAAAAAAATAACCCATCACGACCAAGTGGGCTTCATTCAAGAGATGTAAGGATGGTTCGACATACACAAATCTATAAATGTAATTCAACGCATAAATAGAAGTAAAAATAAAGACCATATGCGCTCCTCTCAATAGACACAGAAAAAGCATTCGATAAAATTCAGCACCCTTTTATGATAAGAACACTTAACAAAATAGGCATAGATGGGACTTACCTAAAAATGATAAAAGCCATATATAACAAACCCACAGCCAACATCATACTGAATGGGGGCAAAAAGTGAAAGCATTTCTGCTTACAACTGGAACCAGATAAGGTTGCCCTCTATCACCACTTCTACTCAATGTAGTGTTGGAAGTCCTAGCCAGAGCAATCAGACGAGAAGGAAATCAAGGGAATCCAAATGGGGGAAGAAGAGGTCAAACTATTGCTCTTTGCTGGTGATATGATCTTATATCTAAAAAACCCCAAAGATTCTGCCATGAGACTACTCGAATTGATAAACTCAGCAAAGTCTCATGTTACAAAATCAATGTACAGAAATCAGTAGCTTTCCTATACACCAACAACAGTCAGGCGGAGAACCAAATCAAAGACTCAATACCCTTCACATTAGTAACAAAGAAGATAAAATATCTAGGAATGTATTTAACTAAGGAGGTGAAAGACCTCTACAGGGAGAACCATGAAACACCGAGGAAGGAAATAGCAGGAAGGAAAACCATACCATGTTCATGGGTCAGCAGAATCAACATTGTTAAAATGTCTATACTACCCAAAGTTATCTACAGATTCAATGCAATCCCTACTAAAATACCAACATCATTTTTCGCAAATCTAGAAAAAATAATTCTACACTTCGTATGAAACCAGAGAAGACCCCATATAGCCAAAGCAATCTTAAGCAAAAAGAACAAATTGGGAGGCATCAGTCTACCAGACTTCAAGCTACACTACAAGGATATAGTAACCAAAACAGCATGGTACTGGCACAAGAACAAAGATATAGATGAATGGAACAGAACTGAGAACCCAGATATAAAACCATCCTCATATAGCCATCTAATCTTTGACAAAGCAGACAAAAACATACACTGGGGAAAGGAATCCTTATTCAATAAATGGTGCTGGGAAAACTGGATAGCCACATGTAGAAGACTGAAACAGGATCTGCACTGTTCACCTCTCACAAAAATCAACTCACGATGGATAACAGACTTAAACCTAATGCATGCAACTATAATTCTAGAAGAAAATGTTGAAAAAACTCTTAGAGACATTGGCCTAGGCAAAGAATTTATGAAGAAGACCCCAAAGGCAATCACGGCAACAACAAAAATAAATAAATGGGACCTGATCAAATTAAAAAGCTTCTGCACGCCAAGAAAACTATCACGAGACCAAACAGACAACCTGCAGAATGGGAGAAAATATTCACATACTACACATCCCATAAAGGGCTGGTAACTAGAATTTATATAGAACTCAGGAAAATCAGCAAGAAAAGAATCAAATAACCCCATCAAAAAGTGGGCAAAGGACATGAACAGAAACTTTTCAAAAGATAGACTAATGACCAACAAACATATGAAAAAATGCTCAACATCTCTAATCATCAGGGAAATGCAAATCAAAACCACAATGAGATACCACTTACCTGCAGTGAGAATGGCCTTTATCAAGAAATCCCAAAATAATAAATGTTGGCATGGATACGGAGAGATAGGAACACGCATACACTGCTGGTGAGACTGCAAACTAGTGCAACCTCTGTGGAAAGTAATACGCAGATACTTCAAAGAACTACAAGTAGAACTACCATTTGATCTGGCAATCCCATTACTGGGCATCTACCCAAAGGAAAAAAAGACATCCTACAAATACTCATTTTCTGAATAACTCTGGCCACGGTGCTGAATGTCTGTGTGGTGGGATGACCACAGAACTTGTTAATTTAGACCAAGAGACCCCTGAGGGAAATGATCACTTATTGGCAAATATGCCAGGGGCAGGCAAACCATGGTGTGTGGCCATCCTCCTGCTGGAGCTTTAAGGAATCCAGAAGCCAAACCCAGCAGAAGGCAGACTGACTGCTGACGGAACGTTTGGCATGACCAGCGCTAATGCCCCTTCCCCACTTCTATTTCTTGAACAAGACAGCAGTGAGATGTGGCCAGTGACGGGAGACACTCCTCCGCCACTGCCCCACAGCCCTGGAGCATCAGAGCCAGGCCTCCCCGTGAGAGCTCAGCCCCCAACAGCCCAGCCACAGGTCCTTGAGGAAGGAATGTTCTAGTGCAGACACATCAGCACATGCGCCTCCTATATCGGGAAGGCTTCTCTGAGAGCCATCCTGGACTCGTGTTCAGATGCCGGTGCTGGAAGCACAACACATGCAAGGATGGGAAGACCCCACAGTCTCGCTGCTGACCAGGGTGACAAGGCAACAAGCCCCTGTCCCGCCTGCATCCTGATGACCACCGGCTGTGAGAAGGTGTCTGCCTCCCACGGGAACCAGCTTTCTGCTGGGCCTGGCGAGCCCTTCACTCACAGCATCCGCAACAGCCACCGGGGCTCGAGCATGAGTCGATGTCTACCAAAGAGGTTCAGCTCCAACGCTCGGCTGCTGGCTCAACCTCAACCACAGAGGGGCCGGCACTAGTGGGGCTCTGTCAGGTACCCCAGGATCCCTCATCCAGAGAGTAAACTCAATTCTAATTTGACTCGTTTTAGAATGAGGGTCACTTCAATAAAATAATGAAAACTGAAGGAGGAACATGAAGATAGCTTCGGAATTGAGCACCGGGGGCTCCTGTGGTGCGAAGCCAAGTGTGCTGTGAGGTGGACGCTCGTCCAGGCCCATCCGGGGCACCGGCTGTGCCTCAGTCCCTGCTCTGCCGCCTCCTATTTCTGTGGCACAGGAGAGGGCACATGGGACTAAGTCTGGACGTTTGTCACCGTTAGGTTGGGGAAGATGCCGAGCTGCTTCAGGAGAAATATCCACTGATTTCCTTTCATTCTGACCCCGTCCGTGTCTCTGGAACTGTCAACGGCTCTTCCCCTTCCCCCGTATCGCTAATCCCGTCTCCACACCGCGTGGTGACTACTGATTATTCACTCGCAGCACCTGGGATGCGGCTGACGTCTCCCTTACAGGAGCCGCAGCGAGGGCTGAGCACGGAGCCTCCAGCCCTTTTGTCAAGACAGGATGGGGACAGAGGAGGACGACGGAGATGGACCTTACACTGGGACGTTCCAGGTGTCTGGGAGAAATGCGGCTTCCCACCAAGCCGTGAGGGGAACAGATGGACCCTGAGCCGCGCGGCTCCCACGGCCCTGGGTGTGCGGTGAGATCTGTGTTGGGAGCGTCGGCGCCGTCCTCCGAGTCTCCTCGGGAGAGCTGGAGTGCACAAGGAGTCCGGTGACCGGGTTTCAGACTCTTGACCTAATTTTCACGTTATTTTTAACAGGCTATTTTATTGGTAATAATTATTATAGCTACTGCTAACGGAGCACTTCACAGGGAGCCTTTCTCGTGTTTTCTGGTTTAACCCTCACGATGACGTCACAGCCCATCATCCAAGTTCACAGCAGAGGACCTTGGAGAACAGAGATGTCAACATCCCCAAGCGGGGCTGCCTTCTGAGTCAGCCCTGGAGTCCTCGGGGCCACCTGACCTTCCCTGACCTCCCAAGGCAAAGACCTGTGTGAAACCCATCTTCCCCCACAACAGCTCGTGGGCGTCGGGCCCATCGGAGGTGCTTAGTCACTGTCAGTTAATGAATAAAAACTTCAGCATTTTTAAAAACAGTGCTAAGTGAGTTACGGCTCACACTGAGACGGTCCCCGTGAAGGCTCTAAAATGCATTTCTCAATCCTGCCGACGTCGGCTTAGAGGTGGCGCAGGCACAGGTGGTCCTGGGGTCGCCCGAGAGCTCTCCTGACCTCCCCATCAGGGCTCCAGAGCTCAGGACCCTCCGTAAGGACCGCAGACCCCATCCCCCGTCAGGTTCCCCAATCCGGGGACCCCTCCTGGGGAAACGGAAATGTGGCCAAGGTGCCGCTGGAGGGGTCCCTGGAGCAGCCTCCCTCACATGGGTTCTGGGTCCGTCGCTGCGCTGGGTCCACTTCCTAGAGGGCGGAAACGAGGCCCCACTCTCACCCCGGGTGCTACGCCTGCCTCTCAATGCGGCCTTCCTGGGGTTGTGGCTCGACAGAGGATTCTGAAGACCCTCCCAGGAGCGTCTGGCACGAGCTCCCAGGGCAGACAGCCCCACCCAGGACGGCTCCCCGCAGGACGCGGAGCACCTGTACCCCTAAAAGGACCCTGGGAACATTCTCTCCGCAAGAGGCCCAGACGGAGGCGCTGCTCGCTCCTGCCCCGGAGCAGGGCCGGGCAGGCGAGAGCAAACCCGGGTCACAAAGCGCGTTGAAAGCGTCACCTCGGCGGGTAGGCTGCCGAGCTCTGTCCTGGGGTGCGAGCTGGAGGCTGAGGCCTGGGACCGAGCCCCCAGGTACGGCAGGTAGTGCTGGAGGGCCCTGGCCAGGGCAACGCCGTCCTGCAGGCTGTGCCTCCTCTTAGCGTCCGCACTCGGCTCCGTCCTGAAAAGCAAAAGAAACCACGAATTAGTTGTGCATCTGCCTCGTCCATGGTGGACACTGCCCTGGAGCTGGGACACGCATCAGGGGGCCACGGGCTCAGAGTGTGGCCACACCTGCTGCAGCCGACCCCCTGGACTGAGGGTGTGAATTCTTGGTGGCCCGTGCCTCAGTGTCCCCACAGGAACAACAGGCTGAGTTGCCCTCCCAGCTGTGCGAGGAGCCACACTAGACCTGTTCCCAGCAGGAACAGACACGACACACGGCAAGCGACTGGAGCACTCTCGTGCAAGCTCAGCAAGGGCAGAGAGCGTGCAGCTCTGGATGCTGGAAAAGGCGGATCAGAATGTCCCCTGGTAAACCTGTGTGATTAACATCGCTGAGTGCCCAAGTGCGGGCGTTTGCACAGCAGCTGACATCAGCACGCGCTCCCCCACCGTCACTGCCATGGTTACACACTTTGCGCATCACCACGTGTGCACAGATATGCCAGGCAGAGAGTATGACGCTGGAAGGACAGACGCAGGACGCTTGCTGCCCTGGGATGGAAGGGGCCCACCCTGCGGTCGCGACAGCCAGGGGCACAGAGGGAAGCGTGAATCCGGGGCGAAGATCTGGGGGGTCGGCAGGTGTGACCACGTGGATGACACACAGAGTCGCTAAGAGAACCACCCACGTCCCAGCGAGACATTTGTCACGGGCCAGGTGTGGCCCTAGGGGAGCAGTCAGGGGACCAGAGGGCCTTGGGGAAGCCGGGCCACGATCCCCTAAACGGTGCTGGAGGGTCAGACGTCAGCATCGCCCGGCCCACACCGTCTGGCTTCCTGCTGAGATTGCACCCTGCCCCCAGCTGTGGCTGGCCGAGAGCTCCCCAGGCAACCTGTGACCTGGCCACGAAGGGCGTGGCCTCCTCCTAGCCGGACTTCGCCTCTGCACTCGCATGTGCCCAGAAGGCCGGGGAATGGGCGCCTCCTGAAACAGGAAGACACACCTGCCAACCAGGATTAAAACCATGCACACATGTGCCACGCTTCCAACAAAACACAAAGCTGCTGTGCACAGAGTTTAGATGGCTGGGAAGTGCTGACCAAAGAGCTTTGAAGTCTGATCATTTTCGGTCTTTCCCACTCATGGGGGGTCTTGCCAGTGTCGACACAAGAGCTGGAGTCACGGACACAGAGATGTGAGTCTGAGCTGGGCCCCTGCTGCCCGGCTCTGGCCGCCCACATCCTCCCCAAGCCCTGCTGCCTTCCAGAACATTCCCAGACCCACGTTGCTGTCCGACTTCTGCTGCAGTTGATGGTCCAGACACCCTCCTGCTGCTGGCACGGCCGGCCCTCTGCCTCCCTGGACCGGGGAGGCTATGTCTGAGCCGAAGCATGTTCCTGAGAGCCTGGCGCGGCCTCACTGGCGGCAAGAAGGGCGCGGCATGGACCGAAGCACCTGCAGAGCCACAAGACAGGACGGACGCTTCCCTGTGTCCTTCGCTGGGCTTCCCCTGATGCTGAAATCACCTGCATAGTTTTATGTCTCCATCTCGTTTCCTTCGTTGGCTCATTAGCTGTAACTCTGTGTTGTAATTTTAGCAGCTGCTTCCGAGTGCGGAGCACTCGTGTTTAACTTCTCACACTTGTCAAGTGACGTCACAGCACTTAACATACGAAATAGGAACCTCAAACCACTACGCTTCATGTCTCTTCCAGCCGTGACGCAGCTGCTGCCGAGCGTTCCATCGACAGCTGTGTTCTGAACCCCACGACACGTTGTCAGTAGTTTTGTGGAAACATGAATTTCCTTTAATGTGATTTAAACAGTAAGAGGAATCGCATCTACTGATGTGTGTAGTGACTGTCCGAGGGCTTTCCGCACTCGTGTCACTTCCCCTCTGCTGGGAGGGCAAAGGTCGCCTGGGCTTCCCCCGCCTCTGCGCCGCCTTCTCAGCTCCGGCTGTCCACGGACCCTCCTGTGCTCCCTGGCAGTGGCCTGGGGCGATCGCAGGGCTCACATTTTGTTTTCTGACTCCCAGTGGCCGTGGCCCTTCCTCCCCTGGTGTCCGGCGTCGTGACCGACGCAGTGTCATGTCCTGGGCCGTCTGTGTCTGTGTCGGGGGAGAGGAAATCTCGTCCCTGTTACTCCATCTGGGCCAGAAGCAGGTGCTGAGTTTTGTTCTCAACAGCCTCAGACAGGTACAACCCCAGGACATCACAGAGGGCGACTCAGAGACCATGACGTACCCACGCGACGCACTCTCTGCACCAGCAGAGCGGAAGGAACCGCCGGCCGCGCAGCAACACACGTAAAGCTCAGAAGTAGCTGAGTGAGAGACACGGTCCCATGTGGGTTTACACGACACGATGCCGTTTACTGACGGTGACGACCGCAGGGAACTAACCCACGGTGACGGGTCAGAGCGGCGTCAGCAGAGTGAGGACTGCCGGCTGCTGGCACACGGGCCCTCCTGCGGTGCAGAAACATTCTCCGTATTGATCACCTGCCGGTCACACAGACGTTCACTTTGTCAGGCAGCGCCAGGTTGCGCACTTCAGATCTTAACTTTATCGTATGTAAATTTTACCTGAATAAAATAACCACAAGGCAGCTGGGAGAGCGCTGCCACCTCGCAGCTTCGTCCCCTCCCGAAACGGCCCTCCGCAGAGGGAGCCCACGCCAGGGGCTGCCGAGCCCGGTTGCGCCGCGTCCAGGATTCAGGCCAACCTCTGCCCGGCGAACCCCGTCTCTCCACGTCCCCACAGGCGTCCTCCCCAGACCCCAGCTGGCCGAGGGTGGGAGCCCGGGGACCACGCTGCGGAGGGCAGACGCCGCAGTCCTGGAACCGGTGTGCGGGGTCCTGGTTTTAATACCCAGATATCACGGAACGTTGTCTTCCATCACAGTGCTTCCTTGAATTATGTATTATATGAGGAAAAATACATGTACGTACGTGCGTGCGCGTGTGTATACATACATACAGAACGCAGACGGTCCCCAGCTGAGATGGTCCAGCTTTGAGGCAGTGCGAGCATGACCCGCTGTCAGCAGAAGCCGCACTTCAAGTACCCGCACAACCATCCTGTTTTCCGTTTCAGCACAGCACTCAACGAATCACACGAGAAATTCAGCACTTTATTGTAAAACAGGCTTTGTTTTAGGTGATTTTGCCCAACCATAGGCTGATGTAAGCGTTCTGAGCACATTCAAGGTAGGCTCGGCTACGTGATGCTATTGGGCAGATTAAGTGTATTAAATGTATTTTGATTTAAACAATATTTTAAACTTACGATGGGTTTATCGGGGTGTAGTTGAGGAGCATCTGTGTATGGATATTACATACGTGTTTCCTTTCACTGAATTCAACACTACGTTCTGAACACAACCGTGTGCAGAAAACGTCCCAGGTCACCTCCCGACGCAACGCTGTGACTTCACGCCAGGTGGGGGCAGGGGGAGGTGTCGTTGGGTTTGCAGGGGCATTGCTGCAAACCAGGCACACACTTTGCCAACGACGTGCCCACGTCCGGCTGCCAGGAAGGAATGTCCACGTCCAAACACGACCATCTGGAACTGATACCCGGGTCTCTACTATGATTTAGAAATACTTTCAGGAAATGCCCTGGTGTTGTCGGTGGGTGTGCAACTCACTGTAAATTTCCCACTTAAAGTAACGCAAGAGGCCTCCAGCCACTGTTTCCGTGTAGAGTGTCTGATTTGCGTGAACAGGTCACTAAAGTGAGGTGTGTGGCACCTGTATGTATTGCACAGAAGCTGAGGCTTAAGGAAAGCCTCCCTAATCGTGTTTGGTTGTCTCGGTTGATAACCCGTCCTGTTCATATTTCTAGTGTCTTCCCAGGTTGCTCCGGCCCAGACACAGCAGACGTGTAAATCATCACCCGTCACAGCTCCTTAAACCTCAAACCAGCTACGGTCTCCTTGACCAATTTTTTAATGGGTGAGATTTCACATTCTGTGCTGTCACAGCGTGATTTAACTGAAGTCAATTTACTTTGCTGGTACTTTGTCCACTTTCCCACTAATTGTTAATCGATGCAGATACAGCCATCCCATAAACGGGCCTTCGAATTGTCCTATTCATCTTCCCCGTGCCTGTCCCTGCCGGAGCTTGTTTGTGACACTGTAGTGTGTCACCATGGTGAGAGCCCATTGTGCTGTGTATCAATTAACTCGCAGATTGCCTTCTGCCCTGTCACCGGCTGGACGCAGATCGAAACCTCCTTGGTACACGTCTTCTCCTCTGAAGGGTGAAAAACCCCTCACCCTGAGAAACACACTCTTCTCTCCCCACTTCCGTGCACTGGCTTCAGGCTCCCGACAATACAAGGTGCTTTAGGTTGTTGGAGGAAAACATCCAAATTAGGAACAAAGTCTTTTCTAAAAGCACAGGAGTCCAATACTCACTGCCCGTCTCGACACTCGCCTCTGGTCCATTTCACTTTTCACGTAGAACCTTCACGACCACGCTGAGGTTTGCTAGGAACTTGCTGGTGCTCACACAGCTGGTGTCCCGGTCCCTGCTCTTGCCCAGGAGCCTCTGGCGTGTCCTCGGGGTCCAGGTTCTTGGGGTCTTCCCGGCTTTCGGCATGTCCTTAGGGTCTAGGTTCTCAGGGGCTCCCTGGCCCTCGGCGTGTCCTTGGGGTCCAAGTCCTCGGGATCCAGGTTATTGGGGTCTCCCTGGCCCTTAGCATGTCCCCGGGGTCCAGGTTCTGGGGGGTTCCACGGCCCTCGGCGTGTCCTCCGGTTCTCCGCAATCCTTTTCTGTACCCAGTTTGTTCCAGCGTGGGGACCTGTACGCACCGCTTTGCTGCTCTCCCATGGCTCGTCCCTCTCTAGCTTCGTCACGTGGGGCCTGCTCTCAGCAGGGCACCTGGTGTGACGAGAGGAAACCAGCAGGGGACAGCTCAGGATGCTGCCTCTGTCAGCCCGAGGACCGGGCTGGCGTCCTGAGGACTGAATCCCACCTCCCCTCCACGTGCCGAATGGATGACGGGTTTGGGCCAAGTCACCAGACCTTCTCGAGACCCACAGCCGCACCCGCACAACACCAGCTGTTATTTCACTGGCCCACTCGCGTCCTTGCAGAACTGCCAAGCTCAGGACACCCCAGCAGTGCGTGTGGGATGCAGAAAGCCAGGCCACACTCTCGGCAGGTGCAGTCACCGTGTGGCCATTTAAACGGGTCAGTGGATCATTCATTCATTCTTCCTTCGTCCTCATTTGTCAGTAAATGCGGCCCTGCTGGCGAAGGGCTTAGCAGGTGCCAGGGCGCCCTGCTCAGGTGCAGGGCTTGGGGCGGGGGGTGGAGAAGGTGACAGCGTGACCAGCCCCTGTCACACAGGGAGTCACAACATAAGGACGCCTTTACTTGTAACGAAATACACACGTTACTCTAAACATGAGCTTGAAAACCCAGAGGTGACGGCCACAAATTAAATTTAAAATAAGATGTATAATCACAAATACTAAACAAGATAAAAGCAAACAACCACAGCCCGCAGGGAAAAGAGAGCAGAGACCCCCCCAACTCCCTGCATCAGCTCCCCCGTCAGCGGCCCCAACAAGCTGAGAACAGACCACTTTGTGTCCCTGTAAAAGCCGTCTTCACGCAGACTCAGGGCCGGGCCGAACCTTGAGGGGCGGCTGTGGACTGACCCGGCCACGAAACAAAGAGGACGTGGGAATGACACGGGACAGAACACCTGAAAGGTGACGCAGCCCCTTTCCAAGTGACAGTGGGTGGGACGGTTGGCGGGCAGACGTGGTGACAGGAGCCCGTGAGGGCAGAGCTGGGAGCCGCGAAGCCAGGACATCAACTACAAAGGGACTCGGGACGCAGACTCTGCCAAGAGATTCAGCCGCAACGTGAGGATGGGCGGCTCCATCTGGGGTGATGTAATGGCTGTGTGTGTGTGTGAATAATTATACGTTACGTGTAGATATAAAATATACTAAACTACAAAATCTGTATCCTGTTCATATATTTTTGAAACACCCATTGAAAATTAATAAAAGTATGATAACGAAAACCTCAAAATTTCCAGAGTAAAACTTGAG